TATATATCTTACAGTAAAAATTAGGGAAAAAAATAATGTTCAAGTATTACATATGTTATTGGCCTGTACCAGATGGCCACAGAACAAATTAAAAAAATCAAAAAAGGTATTTTATTATAATTCTTTTTTCTTTTTTTAAAAAAATTCTAAACTATGGATGTGAATTTTTTTTTTTTTATTAGAAAAAAAGTTTTTGAAGTCAGCATCATTAGATGACTTGGTTGCAGATAGTCATTCGTTAAAACCTCGTCCTCCTGTTATACTGCTGCAAACTTCAAAGCTTAAAGGTGATAAGATTATAAAAAAATGTTTTTGTAATGAGCATGACTTCTTTAATAACATTTTCTAATTATATCATTTTTTTTTTTTTTTTTTTTTGTTTTTTGTTTGTATAATTAAAACTAAAAATACATAGAAATCAAAAAGGTAAGCATTTAAGCTTTGTTGAGTCTAATTAACTTCATAAAACTTAAAAAGTCAATAAAGTTAAAAATACACCTTTGAAGTTTTTAAAATAAAAATTATACCCCAGATATAAGTATACCTCCTTCAATTTCAATTCATTACCTCCTATAATTTCAATTTAAAAGTATACCACAGATAAAAGTAAACTTCCTTCAATTTTTCTTCAAAAAACTATCAGATTCTGAATTAAAGATTTTAAGCCTTTTAATGAATTGTGTTAAATAATATTAATTCTCATGCTACATTATTATTAATTACTCAAAAATGTCGTTACCTGTTATTATTATAACTAAAAATAAACTGTGTGTTTTGCTTATATTACTATTTTATTATATAGATTTATGTTTCAAAAGTTAATGTAATAAGTAATGTTTGATTTTCAAAAATTTAGGTATCAAAAAAAAATTTCATGCTTTGAAATTAAGCCGTAGTAACACAGACTTAATGATAGAGGTAACTTCTTTTTTTTTTTTTTTTTTTTTTTTTTTTCAATTATCTTCGCTTTCAACAAGGTTGCAAGCAACCACTAATTAGTGTTGGAAGTTACTGGAAGAGAAAAGATGGAGATTGTAGAGCAAGATAACGATTGACAGACGACTTAAAATATTGCAAATTATATGAATCAGGAAAGCAAGATGAAGGAAGCGAATTCCAAAGAACTGATGTTCGAGGAAAAAAACTAGACGAATAAGAGTTTTTGGAGCACTTAGGAACAGTAACAGTAAAAGGATGAGGCTTAATTGAATGACGATCTTTAATTAATTTTAATTAAATTTAATTAATCTTGTATAATATTTTTATTTTATTGTGTATCCAAATGTTATCTTAAGATAAGCACTATGTGTTGAAGTTTGCTGTAGCACTTTTTATTTATTTATTTATTTACATTCACTCCCAACAAGGTTGCAAGCAACAACTATTAAGTTAGGAGTTACTAGGAAAAAAAAGAACAGAGTTGTAGAGCAAGGAAACAGTTGACAGAAGAAAGTGCGGGGAAAAAAAACTAGATGAATAAAAGTTTTTAGAGCATGCAGGGACAGATACAGTAAATGAATGAGACTTAGCTGAATGACGAGTAAAACAAGAATGAATTTTAGTTGATAGAACTAGATGATAACTCCTTTGAGCAGTGACCATGATAGTATTTATATAGCACTTGTGATAGCACTTGTGAATAGAATAAGATAAGCACTATGTGTTGAAGTTTGCTGTAGCACTTGTGAATGCCTCAAATAGAATTTTAATTGCTTCAAATGCCTCAAATAGAATTTTAATTGCTTATTAATGCTTTTCTATTTTATATTTGTTCTATTTTTTTTGTTTTTTTATTTTCTGTTTGTTTTCTTATTTGTTTATTAGTTGCTTATTATTTCATTATTATTTCTAATATGTTTTTTATTTATCACTTTGTTTTCGTTTCACTTTATTTTTATAGTTTATTGAATCATCACTATCACAATTACATTCATTTATAATTTTTATAGAGAAATGATTAGTTAACTTTAAATTAGTTTTAAAGAAAGAGCATAAAAGTATAAATTAGGTATATTGTATATTTTTTGATTTTTAAAAAAATTTATTTTTGATAAAGTATAATATATGAGTTCATAATGACAAGAAAAATATAATTTCAATCATTAAAAATATTAAGGATGATTCATTATAAGAAAATTATTTTCTATTTGTGGATTAAGATATAGTTTAGGGAATGCCATTTTGATACAAAAAATATTGTGTGGAACAGCACAAGAAATTTTTTTATTCCAATTTTCAAAAAATTAGAAACAAATGTCATCGTGACATTTAAAAAAAACTACAGTTTACTTTTGAGTAACTACTGTTCAATTCTACAGCAAGTAACTACAGTTAACTTTTGAGTAACTACAATTATTAAAAAAGTTGATAATATTAAAGAATTTTTGTTTTTACAAATTTATTTATGAATAGTTAAGTTTTATTGCAATGCTTAACTATTATTTGTTTAAACTATTTGGTATCTTCTACACGGGTCTATTTTATCAAAATAAACAACAGTTATCCAATAATAAATTTAATTAGTAAATAAAAATCACACTATTAATTTTAATTAAAATATTTCGCTTGATTAATTTTGATTGCATTGCTACTTATTTTCTAACTATCAAGTTTCTTCAACATCAGAGTCATCTTTTTTCCAGCTAGTAGTGATAACTAGTCCTTGTTTTTTTTTCTACCAACCTAGTATATCTTGTTCTTCTCACAACAACCAAGTACATCCACTTTGCCCTTCTTATACAAATAGGGCTTGTCATTGAAGGAATCTAATTTCTTTTCAACAGTTGAGTTTTACTAGCTAAAAAAAATATATATTTGTGTTATATTTGTATTATAAATTGTATTATAATTTTCAAAATCAGTTTTAACTTTGAGATCCTCATCCCCATTTTGTGAGATATTTGTCAAGGTTAAAGATTTAGTACTAACAAAAATAAAAAAACCACTTAAATGTCTATTGAAAATCTGTTACTAGCAATCTTGACTTGGTTGGAACCACATCCTCTTGTAAATATGGCTTTTTTCTCTTACCTAAATAGGAGCTCTTTGTATCATCAAAAGTGACACCAACATCATGCAATTAGAGTGCTGTCCAGTTGAGACTGTATTGATCTTGACATATTCACACTTAACTTGGTTGCTTTGGCAATGAATACAACCTTACAGGATGGTGTTGAGTAGGTGGCACAAAGTTATCGAAAAAAATGTTTCTCCTGTGTTATGTTTAAAAAGGTTTAAAACTAATATTAGATAAATTAGTTTGTTTTTATCTATATTTCTTATAAAGACTTAAACCTTTTTTCATAGATGAAGCAAAACTTGGGAGATGTTAATCTTGAAGGTTATTGTTAATTTTGAAGGGAAGAAAAGGTTATTATATAGAAATCAAATTTGACAATAAGAATACTACCAAAATTGTTGTTCCAATGGAACTGTGAACACACCAGGAGTTCAGTCAGTGACCCAGGAAAAAACGAAAGGGTGAAACCTTGACCAAGATTTTTGAAAAACAATACTTTTTAGACAGAGAAAACTTTACTTTTCGTAATAATAATTACCAAGGCCAAGAGTTTTAAGGACAATACCAAGATTAAGAGTTTCAAGGCCTACGCAAACATTTTATTTAAAAACTTTGGCATATAAAATTCGCCGAATGGTCACACACGAGCAGTGAACGCCTGAGGCAAGAAATGAAGTACATTAGAATAAAGGAGAATTATTTATTAGACAAAGCATATTTTGACAGTTGTCAAGACAAAAATAAAGATTAATAGAGGAATATTTAAAAATAAGTAAGACAAGCTATACAACCAAAACAGTACTCAACCATAATAACAATAAAAAAAAAAAAAAAAAAATAATAAAAATAAAAATTAAAAAAAATAAAAACAAACAATAATAAAATATATATATATATATAAATAAAAAATAAAAAAATTGTTTTATAAATACCAATATGAACTAAAATATACAAGAAATACATAACCAGTCAACAATTTGTAAAACAAAAACCCATTCAACAAATTAAAAATATGCTAACAACAATGAAAGGACTAATAATGGAAAAAAAATATTAATGCTAATGTGTAAACATAATTAGTGTAGTGATAAGTAATAAACATCTCCTCAGAGTCGCGTCTATTATTACTGGCGTTTCGATGAGGATCAGCATTTATAACTAGTTTATCCCGTCAGACAAACGTCATCGCCACTTATGCTTTACCCCGCGACTTACGCCTATTCCATACTGCAGTAAAAAAGGACTCACTACAAATAGCCAAAACCCAACCAACCCCAAATTTGTAAAGCACCAATATTTTTCTTGATGATATGATATAAAAAGTATAGATTTAATGAACAAACAAAAATAAAAATAACTAAATAAAACACTTACCGTACCACCAAAAGAAAACATGAAAACAAAATAAATTAAAATTCTAATAGAAACATAAAAATATTAATCAATTTATTTTAAGAAATAAAACCAAATAGACAATAAACAAGCCCAAGATAATCAGAAAGCAGTACACCTCATTAAAAAAATTTTTAATAAACAAAACAATACCCTTAAATAAACTCTAACGCTGTCATAGATATCTCATTCGAAATATGATAACCAATCAAAAGTGTAGGAAAATGAGTAACCCGCGAAACCCAAAATCATAACAATAATAGAATAATATATGATAGCGAAAAAGAACGTTGCACAAAAACCTTAAAAATGTAAGCGACATATGTGTAAACATAAAATGAAGGATATAAAAATATTCTCTGAATAATAATAAAGATAAAAATTGTGCATGTGAAAATTAAAACATAAGATAAGTAATATATTAATAAATATAGCAATAAGACTAAATAAATATTGTAATAAACCCAGATAATTTGAAGCCAAATGAGTGGTTAAAAAATTAGTTGTTGGTAATATAACAATGATATAAATCGTGATATAAAAACGATGTAGAAAGCGGGAAAAAAAATTGTTAAGAAATGAAGTTTTCTCTACGGTCCGAACTAAATGAAAGTTTGAGACCATATCTAAATCAAAATTTCCGAAAAGTAAAGTTTTCTCTACGGTAATTATTATTTTTTCTTCTTATTATTTTTTTTTACCTTTAAACATGCAGTTTCTGCTGCTGGAACTCTAGTTTTGTTTCTAAGGCCTTGACTATAAGTTTACATCATAAATAACAAAAATTTGCATAAATCAAAAAAAAAAATAAATGTTGGCATATAAATAAAAAATAATTAACATAAAGTAATATTTAATAATATAAAATGATAATAATTTGCATGAAATAATAATTGTTATTAATATAAGATAATACTAATCAACATAAAGCAATAATAGTTAACTTTAAATATGATAGTTTACATAAATTTAATAAGGTTAGCATAAATTCATTTGTGTATTTATTTACCTCAACCTTAGACTTTACGCACTTCCAGTTAAAAAATTTTGTTTTATTTTTATTTTTGTAACTTACTTGGCTGCCATTATAAAATAAATTTCCTGTTGCCTGCTTTGAAAATTCTTGCCTTTTTTGGGTTTTAATTTATTTGTGATTTTAACTTGCAAATAAACACAAATCAAAAAATACATGCAAAATATTGTAATTACCTTTTTCATTGTTATTTGAGTGGACTTGAAAAAATCCCACCAACTGTTAACTTAAGTTTTTTGTTTTTTTTAAATTTTACTTTACATTGAAAATCTATGTGTGTAGCTAGTTATATATATACATATATGAATAAATTAAATTTTTTTATCATAAATTATAAATGAACATTCAGAAAAGTATGATTTAAAAAGTTCATTTAGAAGGAGTGTTTTTAATAATTTTTTTTAGCACTAATTTTTACTAATAAATAATAATTATTTAAACTTATTGATATTTTGACACTGTGAAGCTTTTTAAAAAAAATGAAAAAAAGTATTTATTTATTCAAAAATATGCTGTGTAAGAAAAAAAACTGTACCTTTCATAATCTTCAAAATATTGGTTTATATTTGAAACTTCTTATTTTTGAAATATTTTGCTTTAATTTGTTTAATTAAAATTATTTTTTGTATTTTAAAATAAAAGATGTTATAACATAATTATCATAATATAATAAAAATGTCAAATAACTCTTGTTTATAAGTTTAAAAACTACAAGTATTTGTTTAGGTTGTTTTTTTTTCCAACATTTTTTTAAGTAATTGTTTATACTTGACATTTATTTGATATTTGTTTAAGATACATATTTATTTATTATTATTTATATGTATAATTTTAAATTAAGGTAATAACTGTTATTGTCATGGTTTTATTTTTTATATTCTCAATATTTGATAATTTTTTTTAATCTGTAAAAATTTTCAAGTGATAGTTTTAAAAAGATAACAAAATCATTGTATTTGCTTTCAATGTTTGTTTTTATGTTTTTGGATTATGTATAATGAAGTGATATGTATTAACTTGATAACTGAATGGTGATTACATAATTTTTGTTATGTTTTGAAACTAAAACAATATTCATTAATTTTTTAATAGAAAGGTTAAACATGAAAAAAACTCTTTTTTAACAAAATCTTTATCTATCATTATACTATTATAGAAAGTATAAAGGGGTTAACTAAAAACTTTTTAAAACAAAAACTTTTAATAACTTAAAACCTTTCACAACTCCAAATTTTAGAAAAAGAAGAAATTATGTTTAATCTAGTAGGATTTTTATTTGCATGGTTAAAATAGAAAACTATTTTACTTGCATGATTTAAGGTTGATTTCGGCTGCAATAAACTTTTAACTACACTAATTAAATTAACATAAAGATATTATTCAAACAGTTTTTTAATGGTTTATATAAATATGAGATGAAAACTACAAGATCCCATACATTTTCTTATTTTAAGGTTTGTCGCTTTCTTACTTTAGCTAAAAGTACATTTTTTATTTTTTATGTCTTTAGTGTTTGTTACTGGTTATAGGGTGTTTTACTATTATTTATGGTGTTTGTTACTATTTTTTATGGTGTTTGTTACTATTTTTTATAGTGTTTGTTACTATTTTTTAGGGTGTTTGTTACTCCTTTTTAGGGTGTTTTATTACTATTTTTTATAGTGTTTGTTACTATTTTTTATGGTGTTTGTTACTGTTTTTTATGGTGTTTGTTAATATTTTTCATGGTGTTTGTTACTTTTAGACTAATGGTGCTGATATCAATGGAAAGTCTTTTGAGTTATTTGGTTCTGAAAAGTAAATAGTTTTTTTTATTTTTTTATTTTAACAAAGTTAACATGATTCTTTTTGGGTAATAAAATTTTATAATATTAGGTTGGGTGATAAAGCTTTATAATATAGTTACATTAGGTTTGGTGATAAAGCTTTATAATATAGTTACATTAGGTTTGGTGATGAAGTTTTATAATATAGTTACATTAGGTTTGGTGATAAAGTTTTATAATATAGTTACATTAGGTTTGGTGATAAAGTTTTATAATATAGTTACATTAGGTTTGGTGATGAAGTTTAATAATAGTTATATTAGATTTGGTGTTAAAATTTTATAAAATAGTTACATTAGGTTGGGTGATAAAGTTTTATAATATAGTTATATTAAATTTGTTGATAAAGTTTTATAATATAGTTACATTAGGTTGGGTGATAAAATTTTATAATATAGTTACATTAGGTAGGGTGATAAAATATTTTAATATAGTTATATTAAAATCACTATTTTCATTACTTTTTTACAGTAATCAAAAACAAAGTTTTGAACACAAGCAAAGTGTTTCAAGTAATATTAATGATCTCATTGTTGCAGACAACTTTTTATTCAATGACCAGGTTGTTGCTTTGGTTTTGTTTCTTTTTGTTTTACTTTTTTTTTTTTTTTACTTATGTTTGCCTACTATACTTTTTCTATAGCTATAGTAAAAAAATGAAATTATAAATCAATTTACTATTAAGTTGCTGTTTAAAGTATGTTTTAGTAATTTTATTAAAAATAATGGCAAGTTAATTTTAGAAATTTAATTTTAAATTTTCAGATCATTTGTGACGATTTGAATAATTATGAGGATGTTGTTGATGGTCACTCTGCAGCAGAGGTTTTTTATTTTTAATTTTTTTTGAATTAAAGACAAATTATAATATTTATTTTAACTTTTATTTTCATTATGCCTACTAAGCTCTTGGTAATTTGTGAAGTACTGCATTAAAATTTTATGCACTGATGCATTCTGGGGATGCAGAATTTTGTAAATAACACTTTTTTTTTTAAACTGTTTAAGTGTTAGTAATTTTAAATCATTACATAATAAAAATTTTCTGATATCAATTTGTTTTGATTTACATAACTGCTTAAATAATAATTTATTATTGTGTTATATTATGTTGTATATAAATACATTATGTTACTTATAGTTTTACATACCATAAAGATGAATTTGCGTATTAATACTATGTTTTACATAAGTTATATCACACAAAAATAATTAAATTTATTCTAATTTATCATACTTGTTGTTATCATATTATTTGTTGGATTTTTTTTATGTTAGTGAATTTTTGTAATGCCTTTTTTTTTAACATATCATATTTGTGCATCATGTAATGCCATTTTTTCAATATGTTATATTTTTACATCATGTAATGCCATTTTTTGTATATGTTATGTTTTTACATTATGTAATGCCATTTTTTGTACGTTATATTTTTACATCATGTAATGCCATTTTTTCTATATGTTATATTTTTGTCATGTAATGCCATTTTTTCATTATCTTATATTTTTATGTCATGTAATGCCATTTTTTCTATATGTTATATTTTTGTCATGTAATGCCATTTTTTCAATATGTTATATTTTTACATCATGTAATGCCGTTTTTTTCTATATATTATATTTGTATGTCATGTACTGCTATTTTTTTAATGTTATATTTGTATGTCATGTTATACCATTTTTCAATGTTATATTTGTACATCATAAAATGCTGTTTTTTCAATGTATCATATATGTCTTATGAAACATTTTAAGTTTTTTTACTTTGTCACTATCTTTACATGTAAATAATTAATGTGGTTCTAGGCCCTTTCTGTTATGACCACTTGTAATCACCTAATTGCCTCATTTTTTTGTAGTCAGTGTATAATATTTTTCAATCCTTGAGTACACATGCACATCCTCTTGATTCTAGAGTGTTGCCTTATGACCATTTTTAAATATATTTAAATATTTTCTAATAAAGATCTATACTTAAAAAGGTGTTGAGGAGGTTTTCATTATAGAACTATGCACTAGTAAGGGTATCCACAATTAAGGGTATACACACTATAAAACATTTGTAAAATTTTTAAAAATGTTTAATTAATTAAATAAACTATTAAAGTTGTGCGATATTTACTTTAAATCTATTTCTGTACAGTGTGGCCATACAGTTAAAGTTACACTATTCAAAAAAAAAATTAATGTAAAATGTAATAGTATAATATTTTAGTCTACAAGTCATGAAATAGAACGACTTCATAAGAAAATTGAAAAATTAAAAGATGAACTTGTACAGTTGCAAGCTACAAGAGATGGTAACTTTTTATACATTTTATATTTTAATGATAATTCTTTTATATTTATACTTGAGTGTTTCTTGAAGTACTAAATCTAAAACAATTAATATTTATATATTCAAAATTTCTTTTTATGTTCAAGAAAATGTTAAAGAATATTTATCAACATGCGACAATCCAATATTAACAGAGGTATCTTCAAAAGATATTGCACAAAAGTATGTCTTTTAGCTTTTATATTACTTTTCAAAAGTACAAACTCTTTTTTTTTGTTTATCTTATTTATAATATGAGTTGTTAAAAAATGAGTTAATCTGATTTTTTTGATGGCATTTTTGATATATTATTACTTGATTTTTTTAGTTACAGTTTTGCACTTTGCAGGCTATATAAAGTTAAAATGATACTCATCAATATATATGAAGGGCTATTTGAAATAAATTTTAACTGTCCAAAGTTTTAACTAAGGGCTTTATGAAGTAATTTTAACTGGTCAACTAAGTTAACTTTCATCAAAATAATCTACATAGTCATAGATAGTAAAAAAAATCAAGGATGAATAATTTCTGTTATTTTGGTAATAGTTGTTGTAATGTATATTGCATGTTGTGCATTGTCAGCTGTTTATTCTGTTTCTAGTTTCTTAGTTTGGTTTTTATATGTATACCTAGATGATCATTACATGTTCCGGATGATCGTTACATATGTCTGGATTAATTTTTATTTTTTAATTTTTATATGCAAATATTAAATTATTGTCAAAGTTAAATCTGCTGGGTTTGTTTACTTTTTTTTTCTCAAAAAAATACAAAAAAATATTACGTTGTAATGAACTTGCAAATAATTTTTTTTTTTTTTTTTTGATATTTAATACCTATTCAATACATATTTTATACATCTTACCATAGCTTCTTGTTTTTTGTAATGGCAGAATTATTGCGTATTGTTTCTTATCTTTTATTTGTCCTATGAAATATTACGATGAAAATAAATAAAATTAGCAAAAACCAGTTTACTCAACAAACAACATTTGTTATGCCATATTGTTTCACAATAATTTAAAGCTACTAAATTCTGTTATAAAAATTTTCATTACCATAATTTTCTTTGTCAAAAAATATTATCGCTGGTAACTAGTAAAAGACAATAAAATCTACAAAGATAAGTGATGGTAGGTTTTTAGTTTCAAAGTTGCTGAAGACAAATTTTAAAAAAATTAGTAATAGTTATTACAAAAAAAAAAAAAAGTTAAAAAATACATTTCTCACAAAACTCTATGAACATTTTATTGTCATGAGGTATTAAAATTTTTTTTGTATTATAGGTTATGTTAAAATAAAGCTTTGTTGAAAGTTATTAGAGAAGTCAATTCTGAAAACCATCATCACTACCAGATAAACAAAACCATCACCACTATCAGATAAACAAAACCATTATCACTACCAGATAAACAAAACCATCATCACTACCAGATAAACAAAACCATCATGACTACCAGATAAACTAAACCATCATCATTACTAGTTAAACAAAACCATCATCACTACCAGATAAACTAAATAATTTATTGTAGTAGTCTTGACAGTTTTTTTTTTTTTTTTTTTTTTTTTTCAATTTTATACTTATTTTGTTTATGGAAAAAAATAAAAATAAAATTAACTAGTTTTTTTTTTTTTTCTTTTTTTTATTATCTTCGCTTCCAACAAGGTTGCAAGCAACCACTAATTAGTGTTGGAAGTTACTGGAAGAGAAAAGATGAAGATTGTAGAGCAAGATAACGATTGACAGACAACTTAAAATATTGCAAATTATATGAATCAGGAAAGCAAGATGAAGGAAGCGAATTCCAAATAACTGATGTTCGAGGGAAAAAACTAGACAAATAAGAGTTTTTGGAGCACTTAGGAGCAGTAACAGAAAAAGGATGAGACTTAATTGAATGACGAGTAACACGAGAATGAATTTTAGTTGATGGCACAAGAGACGCTAACTCTTTAGAGCAGTGCCCATTATAGTATTTGTAGAAAAGAGAAAGAGAAGCAACATTACAACAATGTGATAATAGTTGAAGGTTGGCTGCAAGAGCAGGTCCAACTATGTTTATAATGCGTTTTTGCACCTTGTCTAAAAGAGAAAGGGCATCATTAGAAGATCCGCCCCAGATATGGCAACAGTATTCCATGCAAGGCCAGATTTGAGATTTATAGAGATAGAGAATAGAATCCAGAGTAAGAAAGTGACGAGCTCGATAAAGAGAAGCAACTTTAGCAGATGCTAATTTTGTAACGGATTTGATATAAGGTTTCCAAGAAAGATCAGAAGTAAGAGTTAATCCTAGAAGAAGAAGAAGAACAAAATGAATGAAAAAACCATTATTAAACAATAGAATACATTAGCATTTTATTTTCAAAAAATTCTTCAACTATCAATATTCAACTGACTACAGTTGATTATCGAAAGTAGTATGCAAGACATTATTTATTATAAAACTTGTTGCTTTAATGAGATATGAGCCTGCATTGCCTTGCATAAAGCATAACCTCATTCTAATTTTTGCTTATTTGTTTATTATAATTATATTAATTTTCAATTTGTTTAAAAATTATATTTAGAATAAGAGTTATATTTGTGTTTGAAAATTGTGTTTAGAATGAGAGTTGTATTTGAAAGAAACAATCAAAAGACAAATAACAGTATTCATATGCTTCAAAAAAAGTTAGAAAAATTTCAATCACAGTTAAAGGTTAGTAAAAGTAAACTTTATTTAAAAATTTTATTTATAAATTACTAATACTAATTTAGTTATTTCAAAAAATAAAATAAATTAAATGTTTTAATAATGATAATTATTAATAAAGTTTAACTTATTAAAAAGTTTTAAATTTATAGATTTATTGCAATGTTTGAATAGAAAAGATAATTTGAAGAACATTGAAGCAAAAAGTTTGAGAGTAAATTTTTTCCTAATTCTTTTTTTTTTTTTTAACACACAGCCTGGTTTCTACCAGGCTGTGTATTAAAAAAAAAAAAAGAGTTAGGAAAAAATTTACTCTCAAACTTTTTGCTTCAATGTTCAACTACTATATAGGTTGATATTTTAAAGTTATTTTTGTTAGTTTTCAAAATAGCGTTAGTGTTTCTTTAGAAATGATACGTATGTACTTTCTAATGAAAATATATTCAAATTTTACATCTTTTTGAATTTTTTTTTTCACAGTAGTGTGAAAAAATATCTTGATAAAATGTTATTGGTTTACAAATACACACAAGTGTAGTAATTTCATATTCAGTGTTGGTTTTGATTATGTTGTTGATTATGCATGCATATTTTATTAATGAATTATTCTAAGTATTTAATCTATTTATTCATTGAGCATTAAACTCTCACCTTTAAAAGGCACTAATTCAATTGCGGTTACAACCCTCTCTCAGTTTTGTAACTTTGAAACACAAACATTGATACACAAGGATGCCGTGCAGAGAAACTCAGAACTTCTTGTTTATGAAACGAGCGCTCTATCACTATACCACTACCGAGTATTGACTATTTAACTGGTTAAATTGTTAGAATACAAAAATAAGTTTAAATATTTTGAATAAGATAAATCTAATAGTTGTCTAATGACATTTGTATCTAATGGCATTTATATCTATCTTACTTTATTGGTAGCTCAAAAACATTTTTATTGGCATTCTGACCAACATTATAACTGCTTTTTCTTTTGTGATGATTAAAAGCAAAAAAAAAAAAAAAAAAAAAAAAAAAATTAGTAGCAAAGCTTTGTTAACTTTGCTGTTATGTTTAAATGGCTGCGAAAAAAATTATTTAAGGTGGACAAGCTAGAGAAACATTGTTTTAAAAGTATTTAAAGAAAATGGCAATATCCTAATTCATATGACAAGTTGTTTTTTGTTTATCAGCTCAATCAAGCTATTGTTCAATCAAGCTTATGACTAAGCTCATTCTACATATTACATTTATGAATTAGCTTTTTACTTATGACTAAGCTAATTTTACATATTTCACTTATGACTAAGCTCATTCTACATATTTTATTTTATTACAGATTATAAAATTTTAATTTAGTTTGTGAAGTAGAAATTTTATTTTAACTTTTACCTAGAAAACTAATTATTTATCAATCGTTATTTTTCTGTTGCTCATAAGTTCTCGTGTTATATTATTTTTTAATGGTGTATATTAAATGTTTAGGAGTTGGAAGAAAGAGGCATACAGGGTCCGAGGAGAATTATTAGGTATATTTTTAATTTATACTCAAGAAAAATTACTTCCTATAATTTTTGGTTAATTTTTTAATATATACACACACGCATGGTAGTAATTAAGTTAATATTTCATGGGCAATTCCATTTTTAACTTACATTGCACGCATAACAACTTTATAAAATATTTGCCTATTTAAACTGTAAATTAAACTTTTAGCTATTTTGTATGAAAACTGTTAGTCTAAAGAATAAAACGCTAAAAAGTTTTGAGTCTAGCCAAAAGAGGGCAAACTTATTACTGAAAATGCCACTTAACTTACATTACATGGAAAACAAGGTAAAAAAATTGCTTCAACTTTTAGGTCTGATTTCTGCGAATCAGTAAAGCGGTTTGTATTAGAAACTTTTACAAGATGTTAAGAATTCTATGATAATTTAAAAAACATATAAATTTTTATCAGAGGTGATCAGCTAAGGAAAATAAACTTGTTTTTTGATACTGTATGTTTAACTTACGTTACATCACTTACGTTACCGAGCAATATTTATTGTGAATTTTTTATATCTATTATTAAGAGTTAGAGTTACATAACAAAAGAATTGCAAAAGTATTGAGCTTATTCATTAAAAACAATTAGCAAAGGAAGTTTTAAAAAACTGGTGGCACTTAATCCTAAGTATTTTTTCATAACACTTATGAAGTTAATAGAAAACAGTTTTTATGCAAGACCAAGAGCAACAACTAGAAATTATTTTAGTATTACAACTTTATTAATACTTATTTGAATCGTTTAAATAAGAAAATTTTTGGTTTGTTGAAGTTTTTACTTACACTCCTTACGTTTATGCGTATTGCCTTATTTTCTTTAGGTTGAATTTTTAAAATGCTGCAAAGTATTTACATTTAAACCTTTTAAAATATTTTTGACGAAAAAACTGATTAGGAAGGAAAGGGGTTCAGGTATATGTGACAGTAGGGAAGAGGTTAAGAATTGACAAATATAGAGTGACGTGCTTTATGGATGACCCATAATTGCATTTACAAAGGATTTTTTTTACTAAAACAAAATTAAAAAAGATTAACTGTTTTTTTTTTATATTAGGAGAATAGCAAATATATCTTTTTTTTTTTTTTTTTTTTTTTGTCATAATACAAATATTTATATAATTCTTATTTTTATTTATGTGTATCTGTATGTCAACAAAAATAAGAATACATAAACAAATAAAAAAGCAATAATTAGCCAAATTCATTTCAGAGGCCTGGTTTCAAAATTAATTCGATGTAGGGAAAAAGTAAAGACAGTAACTTTGTTATTAAAAAAACCAACTAAGCAATACTGTCGTTGCTATTATTAGTTCCTAATTTATCATGATTAAAAACGTAAATGGTTATAAAAGATAGTAAAGGAGTCTTATGTGGTACTTTTGAGGAATTGAGAAACAAAATGCAAATGTTTTTATGTTATTTAAAGCTGAAAAAAAAGTGAAGCCTAATTAGCTACTGAATATTGTTATTGAATAGCTAAACAACACGTATTTTTAATGCAGCCTCACTTAAAATAGCTAAAATTATAGCTGAACGGTCATCATACAAGATGTTTTACGATAAGAAAATTAGTGTAGATATTGTTTACAAGTTTTGTGACCATAAAAAGGAAGGGAATTGCGGACTTCCTAAAAAAACATAAAGAATGTTACAAAGTTACAAAATAAAATAGTTATCTGGTTAGATGTTATGTGCATTAAATCTATGAGTATAAAATTATATAGTGACTACTTGAGATCAGTTGTTTTACATTTTGATTGATTTAATCCTGAAATAGAACATTGCAGTTGTCCTTTTAGTTCTAGCAGGTTGTGTACTGGGTTGCTTACTCTCACTTTTGTGTTTTTAAAGACAATAATGATGCAATAAAAACTATAAAAGAAAAAAATTAGGCTCTATCTTGAACAGAACAGTTACAAAGTGTAATCATTTTTTAAGATTATCTGAGTCTTAAAAAAATGAAATTATAAAGATGACATAGTTACTATATCTGCAGATCCAGAACTAAACTATTTTTAAAATGATGTATCATTAATTGTTTAGAAATTGAAATAACACTTTAAAAAAATGGCTGTTAAGATGTAACATGTTTATTTTGTTCTAATGAAATTGAAAATTGAATGCAAATCATCTGTTTGTCAACATTTACATTACAAATACTCACAAAGAAATGCCTTTGTTTTATCAGATTGAATTTGTTTTAATACCCTATTATTTGATCCAAATATACTTCACATAGATAACAATAAAATTGAAAACATTGAATGACAAATATTTACCTTGACCTTAGTAACAATGAGGTTACTAAGGTCAAGGTAAATATTGACCTTAGTAACCTCATGGCTTCAAAACAATGTGGTATTAATTACATAAGCATAACATAGAACAAAACAGAAAAGGGTGGCATGATCTCAGAAAACATAAAATTACAGCTGTTAAATCTAATTTACTTGGTTTTTTAGGAAACATTTTTTAGCTTTATATTAAATTGGAATGTTTTTTTATAAAAGAGCATCTACACCAGGCCTAGGCAATTTATTAAATTATTTGAAAACTTCTTTCTAAAGCAGAAGTTGAAAAATGTCTATAATTTTTTAGTCTACTACCTTTATTAGACTAAAAAACTCTAGATTGTGTTGGTTGTGTTAGGCCATGAACAACAAGTAGAAAATTTTCCTCAATTATATGTTCAATGCCAGTTACAGATTGAGTGTACAGATGCTTAACGTTTTTTAATCATACTTAAAATCATACTTATCTCTTTGTTGAATTATATTTTTGTTTCAGTATATCTCTTTGTTTTTAAGATTGATTCAAGTTTTATTTTAGCTAGTCAGTTTTTTTCACATCTTTTTTCTTATTATAAACTGGAATATAAATGTCTGGGAAATTGTTTATATTTTGGCTTTTTTTTTTACAAACTTGTTTTAAACAACTTCGTATAGGTTTTTTTTACACTTTCTGATCTTGGTAAACTATAGTATTTGAGTAGACCATTTGAATCTTTTGATTTAATGTTATTATAAAGCATAAAGCAGATGCGCAATACAATTAAAGTGTTTTTTGTACACTTTTTGATCTTGGTAAATGATAGTAATTAAGTAGACCATTCGAATTTTTTGATTTAGAATTATTATAAAGCATAAAGCAGAAGCACAATACATTTAAAGTGCTTTAAAAATCTGGCCAGAAAAAGTATAAATATTAGGATGTAGAACACTTGTTGATACTTTATCAAACTGATAAGCTACCATTTTTTATTTTTTTACATCGTAAACATAAGTGTGCGGACCGCGTCAAATGAATTTGGCTAATATAAATAATTTTGATTAACATTAAAAAAAAATTTTCTACTAAATTTTCCTAATACAGTCAGAATCTTGTCATACCAACGCAAATTACTTGGCGTGTTAGCAAAAACTTAACAAAAAAGCGCCAGAACTTTAGTTGTTTTTTATTTTTTTACATTACAGTTTGACCATGGCTGTTTTATGTTTCAACAATTTAAACTCAATAAAAAAATTGTTACGTTTTGAATAACTTTTAATTGTTGATCTAAAGTTTTTAATTTTACCCAAAATCTTTAAATAAAATAAAAAATTAATTTTAATTATTGTTTAAATTAAAATAAATTTTAATGTAAATAAATTTTAATGCATTTTTAAATGTAAATTAAATGTTGTATTTAAATATTTTTAGTAGGCATATATTTTTTTTGATATATTTAAATATTTAGAACTGTTTTTCCATGTCTTTCTAAAAATCTATAAAAAGACTATTTTTTTAAAATTACTTTAAATTATGAATAAGTGAAATTAAAATCTTTCCGCTGCAATAGAATGATTTAATTGCTTTATTTTTTTATTTCTATTTTTATAAAGAATTGTTTAAAAAAATTTTTTTTTATAACTCAACTTACTAATGATTAAAAATTACTATTTTAAAAAGACTACATTATTATTTAACATTTTTTTTTTTTTGCATTTTTTTGAAAAAAATGTTTACGCAATTTAAAAATATTATTTTTTTTTTCTTTTCACTAAGATAATTTCGCTTTTCAATTATTTAAATAAAGTTTGTTCATTTATTAAACAATCATTAAAAGTAAATTTTAAAATCATTTTGAGTAACTTTAAAAACATTTCAAAAGATAAGTTTTAAAGTAATTTATTTCAAATGCAATTAAAAACATAACAAGAAGTAATTTTTGCTTCAAGTTTGAGTTTTATTTTAAGACTTATATATTTTTTTTTTCAAAAGGAATTGTTTTCTTTTTTCTTTAATTTTTTTTTTTTTTTTTTTTCCTATTTTAAGTTTAGCTTAGCCTTTCTTTTTTCAGCGCATTTCTGAAATGTTTAAGTCATCAAAACATTTAAACAGTCATCGTCAAGTTGTCAGTAAAAAAAATCATTTGCGTGGTCAGCAATAGCGTTCGATTGCATTCCATTCCTGCCCATGCCTGCTCATAGGCTGAGATAAATATAACATGTATTACATTGTTTCCTGATAAGGATGATATTAAAAGTGTCATGTTACGAATGAAAGGTTTTCCTGTAAGTACTATTATAATAAAAATGCTTACAAGAACATTTTGTATCTATCACCTTATATCATTGTTAAGGCCACACAGGAAGCCCTATGTTATGAATTTGGGTTGATTAGCAGTAATGAGGCAATTGCTTAGGGTGGTATCCACTATTTATGATAAATTCAAGTACCTAAAAATATTAAACTAGAAAATTTATCATTATTACCATACTGTTTTGATCTATTGTTATTACTAAAGCATTCTACAAAACTTACTAAATTACTCTATCCCTAGGTTGAAATAAGCTTGAAATAAACTAACCTATATAAAATATTTGTAAAATGAAAATATAGCTTTTACAACTTAGTAGATAAAAGTTTCTAAAGCAAATTTAAACTAGTTTCCATACGTGCACATAAATTTCCGTACATATTTATTAATATTAGAGTTTTAGGTCAATATGTCAAAAATTTTAAATAATAGAAATTAAAAAAAAAAAATTTAATTTTTGGTTTGCAAAAGAGGAAGCAAATGTAAAGAAAAAAAGTTTTAAAAAACCGAAAGCAAAATAAACGACTCATAACATTTGTACATAATATTTATAGATTTTTTTAATTAGTTCTTAGTTAAAGTGCAAGAGCATAGAATATATATATATATATATATATATATATATATATATATATATATATATATATATATATATATATATATATATATATATATATATATATATATATATATATATATATATACATATTTATGTATATATGTATATTAGGGTATATCATACTCGAGCCAAAAATTAAATTTTTAGAATTTTGACTAGCACGCTTGGATTCCTATGTATTTGGGTATAGGGAATTCAAATATAATAATATTTTTACAAAATATTGATGTCTAGCTACCGGGAAACGGGTTTTAAAATTAGGGTATTTTTTCAAAAATTAGTCTATTTTAACTAAAGCTTAATTTTGGAAAGGTTTTAGTCAATTAATACTAAAAATTACAATTATATTAGGTAAAAAGTAAACTGTGAAATAAAACAGATACAGATATAGCCCTTTTTACGCACTCTGGATCTAGAATCTTTCCAGGATTCTATATCTCCCCCCTCCCCCCTTTTTTTCAATATTTGATAGTTTTATTTTGATTATAAGATCAAGGTATATTACAATTATATATATATATATATATATATATATATATATATATATATATATATATATATATATATATATACCCACACACTGGATTAGGAGCAAGGGGAGGGTGCGTAGGGCGAAAGCCCCCTCCCCTCAAACTTACTCAAAATACCCGTTTAAATTAAAAATCTTGCTGTTGTTTTTTTGCTACAAATTTTCTTTTCAGCCCCCTAACATTCTTTTAAGATCAACATAAAAAACAAGAATTTTTTCAAACATTAAATGTTATGCACAACAAAGTTTAAATAAAATCAAAAAATACCAAATTAGTAATTAAATAAGCTACTGAAAGTCTTTTTTTAACTTAAACAAAAGCATTAGTTCACGATTTTGTAATTGTGTTCTTATAAAACCATCTCTTTTATCCCAACCACAGACTGACTCAGCTGCTTCTGTGACTAATTTGACTGCTCTCTCGCAACTTTGAGTATGTAATGAGTATGGAGGTAGCTGCAGTGGAGAAACTATCAATGCATTGAGTTGGACTAACGACATGTTTGTAGTGAAAATTGGTTCAGTAACAACCTCTTTTTTCCAATCAATAAGTTCTTTAATGTCACATGTATCAAGGTTTATTGTTTGTGGAACTTTAAAAGGTCTAACATCATTTGAGCCCAGCTCACTTCCCTTCCTAACGGCCAATATTGCGTTGACTGCAAATAACCTTTGTTCTGAGTTATCAGAATAGAGAAGCGAGACAAGTATATTCTCAGGATGAGCCCACCAAGGTTCATTTCTGAGATAAAGTTTAGATGCTTCTTTAATCCTATCATCTTGCTTCTGCCAAAGTCGAAACAGCTTTAAAAGATGACAAGAACCGTATTTAATGTCATGCTTTACTTTAATCTCAAAGAACATCGGAAGATAAACCTGAGTCACCCAAGTTGCAAGCAGTCTTAAGATCTCTGCATTAACAGGTTCAAGATCATGCTTACTCATATAGAGAAGCAAGCATCTCATGCCACAAGTAAGCCATCGACTGTGAGACAATCTACCACATTTAAGAGCTTCTACTTCAGGATCAAGCTTTCCTTTCAGAATTGCATTCAAGTACTTCCATGCAACTAAACTGTCAGTGCTCATTTGTTTTAAGAAATCTTCACTGATATTAACAAGAGGCTCCAGAAGCGAAATAGGAGTAAATTGAGTAATTCTTTCAAGATTATCAACTTTGGAAAATAGTTTACCTACTGCTCCACACCATCCTTTATCTGAAGAAGTTGGTCCATCAAGTTTTTCAACAATATGACGGAATGGAAGCTCATTAATGTAAAGCCAGCAAAAAGATCTAAAAAGTTTTCGATTGAGAAGTTCTTTAACAAAATGAATCATTCCACCTTTCCATCAAGACATTTCATTTGTAGTATCACTGCCAATTAGTTGGAGATTAAGATCTTTACCTCTTTCCATTAACCAGTTGAATAATCCAATAGCATATTGCTTGGCTGGTTTAGATGTTTCTGACTTAGGCTTTGGTGTATAATGAGTAAGGTAACGACCTCTAAGTTCTTCTGTCACAGTTATATGATTTTCTTTGATAATTTTTTTTCTGAAGGTGCCTGTGGTTTTATCATGGATAAGAATTAAAGTTTTGTCTTTTCTACCATCAACAAAAATTCCAGTGATTATATTTCTTTCACAGTCGAAATTTTCTTCTATTCTGGAATACTTCATAGCACGCTTTTTGGCACGAAAAACTTTCATGCTATCACATATAAGATTTTTTTTATCTTCAACAAGTTTCCCTGCTTTCATAACATCTTTCAGTAGACCATTAATGATTGCAGCAGTAGCAGTCGATGATACACTAAATCTAACAGAAGCAATGGCAGCATTACTAATATCAAGGTAGTTTCGATTAACATAATTATCTTGCTTTTCTATTGTCGAGTCCTCTTTGCTATCACTGACTATATCACTATCACTAACTTTATCGATATCACTGACTTCTTCACTATCACTGACTATCACATCATTTGAATTATTATGCATTTCTATTGTAACATCCACATTTTCAACATCAAATCTAACAGCCGGTGGATAAAATGTTTCTAATGACTCTAACTTAGATTTTGAAGCTTCTTCTCGTTGTCATGCGAGTCTTGCTTGATCGATTGACTTGCGTAAGTGTTTTAACCTAAGTTTGGCAGTCTCTTTATCATCCAAACCAAATTCTTGCATAGATGAAATACTGCCTTGTTTTTCTTGCTGGTTTTTTATCCAAATAAGCTCTTTTTGAGGAATTCTTAAATTTAAGTCACATTTGCAAAGGCAATGAGCACCGCTATCACAAGATTCTTTGCAAGGGGGATCATTCTCACTGCAGTAAACAATTCTGCATTTGCAAAGAGCAATATCTAAAAGTTTATCAAGCTCAGGCTCCCAGTGTTTTATGTAAGATTTTTGAGATTTGTTTCGAGCTATCTTAGAGAATGCAGACCAACTTCTACTGAGTCTTAGTGTTATTCCTTTTGTTCCACAAACTATGGGTTCTTTAAATTGGAAATAAGCCATCGTTCTGCAACCTCATAAGCAACATTAGAAAAAATTTCTTGCATTGATAAATTATGCTGATTTTTTTCATAGACTAGTATTCTGTCTCGCTGCAGATCCAGACAACGCTGTAAACAGTCACGTAAGGTTGGAAATTCAGTTTGGAGGAACTTTCTAGGACCTCCAAGATACTCACTTAGTTTGGTGTTAATCGATTTTCTGGTTTTCTTGCTAACTAATAACGCCATTTTTCTTTTTTTAATATATTATGAGTCTAAAAGATATAAAAGCAGCAATAACAGCAATTAATTTGAAATTGAATTTAAATAGTAATTATAATATTTATAAGGTATATTTGTATATTAACTGATACTTATACATAAAATAATTTTAAAAAAAACTCAAAACATATTATCAAAATTAAGCATAGGGCTAAACAGTATTTTAAATAATTATTATGTACATTTATAGCATAAATAGTCATCAATTAGAAAAAAACACAATATTTTTGGAAAATTAAAAACGTTTTCCCGGTAGCTAGACTTGTTTTTTCACTAAAAAAAATTATACTATTCAACTCAGGGTATATGAATACATAGGAAAAGTGATGTACTGAATGAAATTCATAACATGCAAAAGTATGATATACCCTAATGTATATATATATATACATATTTATGTATATTGTATATATATATATGTATGTATATATATAGTCTTGCATGGTAGTCAGAAAGTTTTTCCCATAAACTGCAGTTTTAAAGAGCGTGTTAATAAACCAGACCAAAAAAAGTTTGAAAACTTAATTTTTTTTTCTTAAATGATAGACTGCCTGCTCAAACCAAACCTTCAGTTGATGTAGCAGCACTCCTTTGTGAATCAGGCTTGATGTAGCAGCACTCTGTTGCGAGTCAGGCTATAAGATAGTCAATGTAGCAACACTCTGCGCATGTTTTAAAAATATATTTTAATAAAACAACAACAAAAACACCATGTCTCTATGTGCATAAAGAAAAACATATTTAATGAAGTTTTTTCCCTTTATTTTTACTTATTTTAGGGCAGTACAGGACTCAGTAAGATCAGGTGCCTCCAGTATTCATGAGTATGTTTTTTATTTTTTTTTTATTTTTTTTTTTTTTCAGTATTTTGAATTGTTATATAAATAATTTTAATTTTTTTGTTGCTTTATTTTGTCAATGAAATTTTTAGACATTCTGTTTGGTTCAAAGTAAGTTATATTTTAGACATAGTATAATTAATATTAAAATTGTTTATAATCAAAAAAATTAGGATGTTTGGTATGACTAAATAAATTTAAACATCCAACAAATTTATTTATGTAATTAAAAATTTTAGCCCAGAAATAAGGTGTTCAAAGATCTGTAATTAGAAAAAAACAAATCTTACAAATACAGATATACTTGTATTTAGTGCTGTTACAAAGCCATTAGAATCCATTAACCAATTTATAAAGAAAGATAAGAAGAATGATTCTGAAGCAAAAATAACAGGTAAAAAGTTATAAAAAGTTAAATAACAAATGAATTAAATTATTTGCAACATTTTATATACATATTCCAAAGTTCCAAAGTTTCCATTTTAACAAATGTTTAATATTATTTCAATTTCAGAACTTGAAAATTAAATGTAACCAGAAATTTATAGAATCAATGATTAAATTGTTTGGTAACATAACTTTAGATTGTATAACAATCTTAAGTTGCTTTTTATGCAAATATCTTTTATTTATTTTATTGAGATCTTTAAATGTTTATTAAATGGTTATTAAGTTTAAAGGTTACTTTGATTTGTACTTAAAAGCAGAGGTGGAAAAAGTAAAAAAAAAAAAATGTACTCAAGTAAAAGTATTGCTTGAGTGAAATTTTAACCAAGTACAAGTAAAAGTCAAAAAGTTTACTCAAGTAAAAGTAAAAAGCTTTTTAAAACTGTACTCAGATTAAAAGTTACTGCGTTACTTTTTTAACAGCCTCTCAGATGAAAAAGCTGTCAAATAAAAAAACAAAAATCACGTAGTCTATTCTTTTTTGTATAAAATTTTTTTATGTTTGTAAAAAGCGAAAAGAAACCAAGCTAAAGCAGTTTTTTAAAACAGTTTTTTTTTAAACATTTTTTTAAAACAGTTTCAAAGTGTCATTCTTATTAAAGTGAGTGAAACCCAAAAAAACAAAAACAAAAAAAAATCGTAGTATTTGTGAAATTAAACAATACATAAAATTTTATACTAGGTAACGCATATGATTTCAAATGTAGCGAAGTACAATACTTTAGAAAAAAAATACTTAAGTAAAAGTAAAAGTACACATTTAAAACAATAGTTTCTCAAAATAACTACTCAATTACAGTAACGTGAGTAAATGTAATTCGTTAATTTTTACCTCTGCTTAAAAGTGTTGGGTGTTGGGTTCATTTAATGTGTTTTTTCATTTTGGGGTTTGGTTTGTTTTGGGTGTTGTGTTGGGTTCATTTTATGCTTTTTTTTATTTTTACAGCTTACAGTTGTAATTCAAATGTTTGCCAAATAGGTTTATTATTTGTGCTGGTGTCATGTATCTATAAAAAAAGATTGAGAAGCATACAACTTGCATATATTTGTACATATAAGTATACATATTACATATATATACATATAAATATTATTGATGTAACTATTAATTGACATCGGTATCAGCTTAATCAGACATTTTTTAATAAATGATGAATGAGGGCTGCAAAGTCATCAACTCAGGAATAACTTGTTATATACCCAGGCTGAATATAATATAGTAATTATATAATAATGATATAGTAATTATTATCGAGTTCATAAAAACTGTTGTAGTTCAGGTAATTAGTGTAATAAGTGTTGAATGGCTTGTCTGACTGAATAATAGAATTGTATTCTGCTGAAAAAAACATTTTTTTTGATGCATAAGATAGATCTCAATTGCTGAATGGCATCCATCTACCTCTATATGAATGTGGCCAACCTTAAAATTTTTCGATTCTATCATGATACAGTATTTCATGTCCAAGTCTAATAGGGCATTAGACAGTTTAGCATTCCTATTTTAATAACTAAGCCCATCACTTCATATAATAATTTTTTTTTCAGAGTTTTGTAATCCAACATTTAGTCCAATCTTTCATGGCTAAAATAGCTTTTTTTTTTCTTTTATAATATGGTTTGCTTATGACTTGTTATTGAGAGTTTCATTTGCATGCATAGTACATTTGTTACATTAATCTTTTGTGGGCGTGTAGAAAAGCCAAGTTCATTTTATCCATCATTTTTTTCAAAATTGTCCTTGATACCTTTTTTTTTTATACGTTTTTTTTTGAAGACTCTAATATTGTGACATATTTTGAATGAGTTTTTTGTGCTGAAGTGCTTACCTGAGAGATAGGCATTTCATAAAGTTTTACTCAATCAAGTTTTCTAAAAATGCTTATTGAGTCTTAAAGAAAGGGAATCTTAAACTCATAAAGATGGTTGGAGGATTGCACAATCAGTTTTACTTTATTGATTTCATGATTTCAAGACACTATTAAAATTAAACTAATTTTATGTACCCGAATTTTATTAAAATTTTTTTTTGAAAGAATAATAGCTTTTATTACAACAAAAAAAATCAATTTTTTTCCCTTCGTTTTCTTTCAATTAAAGCGCATATTTTGATAATTAAAGCGCACAAAAATATTAGGAAATTGCGTCCTTATATATATATATATATATATATATATATATATATATATATATATATATATATATATATATATATATATATATATATATATATATATATATATATTCATTTAATATATTTATTTTTTATTTAGTATATTATATGTTAATTTACAACTTTTTTTTTTTAGATGAAGAAGAGATCGAAAAATGTTACTTGAACATTAGAAGCAGGTACGTAAAAATTTTGAGCCTAGATTAGCTTCATTTTAGGAAATCATAGTGCAAAATTCTTTTTTATGTTTTAATTTTTTGTTATAGTGATGATGACAGTTCCAGTTTGGGTTCTAATCAATTGTAAAAACTAATTTTTACTTAATTAAATTTTGTTGTTTTTTGTTAAGGAGAGAAAATAAAAAAATTTTTCTTAATTTTTTTTTTTTAAAGGCTGTGTTCGCATGCTTCTTTACCACTATTCAATAAAATATTATATAATCCAAATGAAGACCAGATTAATGAGTTAGTTGCTGCCAATGAAAAGTTAAATGGAACTGTTACAGAAATGAAGGTCTTTATTAATATAACGTATTTTTTATACATAAAGTTTTATTATTTAAACCTATACCTTAGGTCATTGTAAATTTTAAGTATTTACAACTATTTTTAGTTATTTATATATATATTTATTTATTTGGAATATACATATATATATACATATATATATATATATATATATATACACATATGCATATGTGTATATATATATGTATGTATATATATATGTATGTATATATATATATATATATATATATATATATATATATATATATATATATATATATATATATATATATATATATATATATATATATATATATATATATGTATGTATGTATATATGTATATATATATGTATGTATGTATGTATGTATGTATGTATGTATGTATGTATGTATGTATGTATGTATGTATGTATGTATAATGACCATAGTCATTATAAATATATTTAAGTTTAAAGTTACATGCCATTTTGGTACTCATCAGCCATATATATTTAAATTTAAAAAGTATCAATCGAAAAACTGTTCAAAAAACACAAATAAACAATAAAGTACTGTCAACAGTGAAAAAAAAATTTATATATTAGAATTTCATATTGCACAATATTTAGTTGATGTGTTGTATGCTTCACAGTGTCAGAGAGTTTTTCACTTAACTATGGGGTTTAAAATAGCTTCTTTCAACTTCCAGACCTGCTCTGAAAACTCAATATCATTTTTTGTTAGATGTTAAAAGATTTAAAGTTTAATGTTTTGACAATCATTTTTACAGTGCTTACTTGCTTTAAAATAAAAGAGATAGTTACATTAATTTAATGATTAAATATACACACACATACATTTATTATTAAACTATATGAAGGAAAAAAAAGCCAAGCAAAACAACAATATTCAAAAAATGAATTGATTTTTTTAAGTAAAACTTTCTTATACTGAAATATTACTAAGAAAATATTAAATAGTACTAGAGGCCTTTCAGTATTTATCATCAGTACTATTGCAAATGTTATTATCATGATATGATATTAACTGCAGTTAGTAATATTTTAATATAAGTGTGTGTGTGTGTGTGTGTGTATATATATATATATATATATATATATATATATATATATATATATATATATATATATATATATATATATATATATATATATATATATATATATATATATATATATATATATATGTATATATATATATATATGTATATATATATATATATATATATATATATATATATGTATATATATGTATAGACAGATATATATATATATATATATGTATAGACAGAAATATATATATATATATATATATATATATATATATATATATATATATATATATATATATATATATATATATGTATATATATATATATATATATATATATATACATACATATATATATATATATATATATATATATATATATACATATATATACATATATATATATATATATATATATATATATATATATATATATATATATATATATATATATATATATATATATATATATATATATATATATATATATATATATATATATATATATATATATATATATATATATATATATATATATATATATATATATATATATATATATATATATATATATATATATATATAGACAGATATATCTCTGTAGCATATATATTTCAGTACATGCTTTACAGTTTTGCTTAACTTTATTGCATACAGCTTTTTCAGGAAAAAAAATCAAAAATAAATAAAAGAAAAGATTGCTCCCCCATTCCACATCATCAGTCGATGTAGCAGCACTCATTTGCAACAGCAAGCTATAAGGTAGTTGATGTATGTGCTGAAGCCCCCAGCTGCAGGTTATCTCAGTGTTTTTCTAAATATTCATTTATAGTTGTGCGTGTATATATATATATATATATATATATATATATATATATCAGATTGCAAAAAACCTTAGGGGGAAAAAAATATATATACTGCAACAAATTTTTCATAGCTATGATCCTGCAAAGCATCAAAGTTTTAAATCAAATCAGCAAAAGTGAATAAAGATTGAATTTCATAAATCCTAATTTTAATCATGGCGATTATAAATATTTTCTTAAATGTCGTTTTAAAATAATTACAATGTCACTTCTACTTCACTCGGTTTCCGCTTCTAGGTTAATGTACTTAAAGGAATTAATATTAATTGGTATTGAATGTTTTGACATTTGTAACGGAATGATGAGTATAGTTTATTAAACTCCTAGCAGTCAATTTAACTTGCAAACAAAAACAAGTTGTTAATTCTACAGCATGTATAGTTTGAGATAAATGCATTAGCATTAGAAAATTGTTAAATTTTTTTTTTCCAGTGTTGTTGTGGACAACTATAACAACTCATGGTTTGTGAGTTACCATGTATGGTAAGTTGCGTTTTATGATTTGTTTATTGCGATTTTTAATGTAGTGCTGTCAGCTAAAAATTTATTCGCTATTGAAGGATATAAAAGTTTTTTTGAGGAAAAAAAACTAAATTCAACTGAAATTTCAAAGTTACATTAGAGACATATTCAACTGAAATTACTAAGTTACAATGGCGACAAATTGATTTAAGCATAAAAAACACGAGCTTGTTTTAACTTTTTTTTTCTTTCTGCTTTGTAACAAATATTTCATTTATATTTTTAATTATACTAATAGCGATTTGTTATGATCCATGTGGGTGTGACCATATTTGTAACACCACTGGGTGTGTGCAAAAATAATTTGACCTATTTTTGTGTTTTAATTATTTTAATAATAAAAAATAAACAAAAAAACTTAATTATATATGCTCCATTATTGTCTAAGACTATTTGCCAATGTGTACGTAAAGAATAGGTGCCCTGTAAATAGAACTCTTTGGGCTCGGAGGCAAAAACATTCCAGGTATGCTTTGAATTTGGTCTTGTTTTCAAAGAATTTACATCAAAGATTTTTGATCAATGAACGAAATAAGTAACAATCAGTTGAGTTCAAGTCTGGTAAATATGGTGGGTGAAGTAATATCAATACAATGATTTTTCTGATTTCATGATATGAATTGTTTTTTGTTGAAAGGGCCCAAGTAATAAAGCTTTTCAAAAAATGAAAAATTCATCAATAAAGATGAAAAAAATCATTAAAATTAGAATTAATAAAGATGACAACTTAATAAGAAACTGAAATTAATTGAAAAAATTATTTATGAAAACAATAGGGCTTACACAATATTTTGTGGTGATTTCAACATTGATTTGATATTATTTGTGGTGATTTCAACATTGATAATTCAATAACCTCTCTAGATTACGTTAATATCTTGAAAGAGTACAACCTCATTAATATAATAAATGGCCCAACTAGATTAGTGTCTAGCACATGTCTTGATCATGTTTTAATTAGTAGGAGTCAATCTAATGTTACAGCTGTAGTACATGTCTTGATCATGTTTTAATTAGTAGGAGTTAATCTAATGTTACAGCTGACATTCATGATTACGATATAATTGATCATCAAATTGTTTTATTAACAATACACAACTACTTTGATAGGAAATTTAGGAAACTAAACAGAGAATTTTATAACACAATAATATAAAAAATGGACAATTACTTCACAAATGATAACCTTGATCTAAGTTAAAAAAAATTTATTAACAAAATTCAGATTGAATTAGATACTGCAGCGCCAGAAAAAAAGAAGGCTAGTAACCAGCGATTTTTACCAAAAAACCAATGGATGACCAGAGAATTGCTCAATTTAAGAAAGTTTATAACAAATTTTAGGGTCAAATGTTAGTAGTGGAAGAGATGATTTAAAACTTCTAATTAAAAAATTATATATATATATATATATATATATATATATATATATATATATATATATATATGTATATATATATATATATATATATATATATATATATATATATATATATATATATATATATATATATATATATATATATATATATATATATATATATATATATATATAAACTATCCATAGCCAAAAAATAACTTCTTTAGGAAACAGCCTTTACATTCTACAGTGAGCCAGAATTGTCTAAAAATGTATAAACTATTTATGGGTTAAATATAGACATATGATACATGTTTATAGAGGTTTTTGGGGCCAAAGATTTCTTTTTTGGGCTCCATTTTAATTTTTGGAGTGTTCATGACCACACTAGTGGTTATTTTAGAAGTTTTCAAGGGTGGTCATCTGGTTTTTCGATGGTTTTTAAATTAGGTGGGACATGTTGTATATCTATAGGTAACTGCTGTTAGGGAGTTTAAATCTGGGCATATGCAGTCTTTAGAAGTGGTCATGATACCCTTAACCATTACTATAATGGTCATTTTAGTAATGGTCAAAGGTGGCCCTGAGATGTCCCGATGTTTTTCAATTAGATGGGACATTTATGTCTTAATATAGGTAATTGCGGTCAGGGAATTTGAAAGAAGGCATATTCAGTCTTCAAGAGTGGTTATGACCACTCAGGTGATCATTTTAGGTGTGATCAAGGGTGGTCCTGGAATATGCGGATGGTTTTTCAATTAGATGGTACATGTTTAAGTATAGGTAATTGATATCAGGAAAATCAAATCTGGCCATATTTGGTCTCCAGAAGTGGTTATAATTGCACAGATAGGTGTAGTCATGGGTTGTCAAGATATTTTTGTGATTTTTATTTATTTTGTGTACTTAATTTCTTTATTGCGATTATAAGCAAATAACGTTTAATAAACTTTATTAACATTTTTATATATATATATAAAAATCTAGGTGATGACATATATCATACATTATTACATCAAGAGCCCCTCGGCCTCCTTATGTTGATTGGAGTCATCGACTTTTTCCTGACTCCTTATTCTGGACACCTTAGTAACATAGCTGCAAAGCATTTTCATCATAAGATCATAATTTGTTTGAGACCTGGAGAATTTCATTGTGTAGTGCTCTCTTTTGTTTTAGTCATTAATATTAGGGTGTATGAAATAAC